GAAATACCCCACCCAACACTGACCCCTACTGGTACAATTTTGTACCATTTGTTCTGATCAGTGGTTTTGTACCTCTGAAGGTCCACAGTAAATCACCTCAGGGGTACATCTCTGTACTTACAGGGTACTTTCCTGATTAAAGTACCTTTTGGGTACAAAAGTTGACCTTTATTTTTTTGTGTGTAGTTAAGGACTCATGATAATTATCAATAAAATTATTATTGATAATAAGTGATCAGAACTGTGTGCAGCAGATTATCTGAGTCCAGAGTTCTCAGTCTGAAACCTCCTGGAGCTCTTCTGTGTGACTTTAGTTGTGACAGAGTGTGGATGGTTGATTGTCTCTTTTGTGTCCCTGATTGAGACTGGAGACCTGTCCAGGTGTCTCTGGTGAACTGGAGACCTGTCCAGGTGTCCCCTGTCTTCAACCAAATGCAGCGAGGACATGTTCTAGCCCCACCCTGACCCTGATTATGAACAAGGACAGGAGGAGGATTTTTCTTTATAGCAGGAAACAGATATTTAATTATAAAACATGATTTATTTTATGTTAATCTGAACCAGTTTATTGTTGTTTGTAAATATATTTAACAGTTTTGTAGGAATGAACACGTTTGTAATGTTTGTTCAAAAATAAACCTGCTTCTTTTATGACTTCTGTAACATGTTTTGAATAAAATATTATCAGTAAAAACCTCAAATCATGTCAGTTCTAATAATTATTAGAACTAGAAGAACTAACTTTGCAGAGTTTCCCCAAGGATTTTTTTAACCATGGTGGTGACCTCTCATGTGGCGGTTTGACAAAATCTGGTTGTCCTCAAAACATTTTGGTTGTCCAAAAAATATCTTAACAAAATACAATTTAATAAGTAGGCTATATTGTTCTGTATACGAAGTTTACTATATACAAATGTTCTCAGACAGCAGGTTGACAGTTTTAGGAGCTGCTTGAGGAGAACTTCCTCGTTCTCCTCCTCATCCTCTTCTTTGAAAATGAGATTAAAAAAAACAAACATCCAGCATCCATAAGCTTTCTGCTTACAGGTCAAACATTTTTATTTAAATAGGAGTACACTGAGTACTTATTAAAAGTTACAGTTTAGTGTTCTTAGGACTGAAGACTTTCAGAGGAAAGAGGTTTTAAATATATTTTCTATAAATTTAGTGTTTTCAACTGAGGAGCTTTGATATATTTATTTTAAATTAATTATAGCAGAGGAAGTTCTCTGCACAGAAAAAAATATCTTTACTGTTTTTTAATCAAATTGACAACTCCAGTAAAGTTATTGTGTAATTTAAAGGCATTGAAACACCTGGTTAAATTTAGAAGGTGTGATTAACTACAAACATCTGAAGCTGACTCAGAGAACTCTGTGATTTTAGAAAAAATAAAAGTCAAATGTAGACACATCTTTAAGAGACTCCCCTCCTCCTCCCCACCCCGCGCAGCTGAGGTCTGCTTGCACCTCCTCTCCACCTGTGTCGTGTGATTAATACGGATTTTTGCGCAAACGTCTGAAGGGGTTGACATGTATGATCTTATGTCCTGGGCCGGGACTTAAATTTCATACATGCCAACCCCTTCAAACCTTTAACGTGTATGAACTTTAAGTCCTGGGCCGGGCTGGTCAGAGCTGCGCTTCTGTTGGACAGTTGCAGCCGGTCTCGCTGCACCTCGCTTTAAAAACAGTCAGCTGATCGTTCGCGGTTTTGTTGCGCTCGTGACGTGAATACACAGGGGACATGCTGCGAAGTGCTTTTAGAAATATAATAAATATAAAATACGACATAATCCTCGGTGGAATATAGTCCAGGAAACGCGTGCGTTCCCGAGAGGTATTCACCTGCAGCTGATTGAAGCTGAACCCCCACCTGCAGAGAGAGAGAGAAAAAAGGCAGTAGGACTAATTATTGATAAGGTAACCATGATGTGGTTTCACCTGTCACATTTTATTTTAAAGAAAGAAAAAGTAGCTTGCAAAGCTGTGGCATCGGTGCAACGTGATTAAAAGCAGAGTTGCGCGTCTAATCACAAACACACACACGTCTTCCTATCTTTGTAAGGACCACACACAGCGCTCAGCCTCACGCTGCACTGTCTTTTTCCCCAGTTTTGGTGAGAGGTGGATATGGAGGAACGCAAAAAAATAGCTCTCGACTTGATCTGGCCTTATTTAAATAAAAATGACTACATGCCATGAAATTCTTAGAGGGGCGGGCCGTTTCGTTGGCAGGCATAGTGGGTTTTTTTTTGGGGGGGGGGGGGTAACGCTAAGCAGAGACTCATCTTTTCTATAATATGGGACAAAGACATGTTCTATTAAAGTTAATATTGTTTCGTTAAAAGGGCTGAAACAGCTCTCAGAACAGCCTGTGTGCACCTCGGCGCGCTCCCGTAACAGTGCTGCCAAGGAGAGGAGTTTGGTCACGCGTGCAAAGTTGGACATATTGTGTTCGACAACGAAGCTCTGAATACGTAAACTTATAGTGTTAGATTTTAGATAGCAACGTCTCTGGTAGCTCGGGAGCAAAGTGTGGAGAGAGGACGGGGTTTGCTCGCTCAGGACAAGAGCTGAAGGCTGACTGTTGTTTATCCTGCAGCTTCATCGACATCAGAAAGACCTGCTCTGCTCTGATTGGTTGATTTGTTGAACGCACCGTCTATATCAGACTGGGCGGCTTGAGACTGCAACAGAAAACGAGCAGGTTTCTCTTTTCCTAATTTTTTTAAATACTGAAAATACCAACATGGGCAAAATGACGTCGGTTATTGTCATAAATGTCGGAATCAGTTGTTTTTCGGTTTATTGTCCAGGCCTAGATGGAGGACCTCAGTTATAAGGCAATATACTGTATTGTTGGCGCTAGCGCAAAGGCTAACAGGCTAAGCTGGGGTTCTTCTTCCATGAAGCAGCTCTGTTGTCCTCCATTCACATTTTCATTTACAGGCTGAGTCATTTCTACCTTCTCCTCCCTGTCAATGCTCTCTGGTTTCATTTAAAAGAGCCAATCATCAGATGTTGTCAAAAATTAACCTTCAGGGTGGATATAGCTCACCAGCTCACCAGCAGCCTTGCACCGAGGACCTATCCATGTCATCATTTACCCAGAATGCTTTGCGTGTAAATAAAATGGCCTCGTCCGTGTAATATACAGTGGGGAGAACAAGTATTTGATGCACTGTTGATTTTTCAGGTTTTCCCACTTGCAAAGCTTGTAGATGACTGTTATTTTTATCATAGGTACCCTTCAACTGTGAGTGATGGAATCTAAAACAAAAATCCAGAAAAATACAATGTATGATTTTTAAATAATTAATTTCCATTTTATTGTGTGAAATAAGTATTTGATACACCAGAAAAATGACACTTAATATTTGGTACAGAAACCTTCGTTTGCAATTACAGAGATCAGATGCTTCCTGTAGTTCTTGACCAGGTTTGCACACACTGCTGCAGGGATTTTGGCCCACTCCTCCATACAGATCTCCTCCAGAGCCTTCAGGTTTCGGGGCTGTCGCTGGGCCACACGGACTTTAAGCTCCCTCCAAAGATTTTCTATTGGATTCAGGTCTGGCTAGGCCACTCAGGACCTTAAGATGTATCCTACGGAGCCACTCTTTAGTTGCCCTGGCTGTGTGTTTTGGGTCGTTATCATGCTGGAAGACCCAGCCACGACCCATCTTCAGTGCTCTTACTGAGGGAAGGAGGTTGTTGGCCAAAATCTCACAATACATGGCCCCATCCATCCTTCCCACAATATGGTGCAGTTGTCCTGTCCCCTTTGCAGAAAAGCATCCCCAAAGAATGATGTTTCCACCGCCATGCTTCACGGTTGGGATGGTGTTCTTGGGGTTGTACTCATCATTCTTCTTCCTTCAAACATGACGAGTGGAGTTTAAACCAAAAAGTTCTATTTTTGTCTCATCTGACCACATGACCTTCTCCCATTCCTCCTCTGGATCATTCAGATGGTCATTTGCAAACATCAGACGGGCTTTGACATGCGATGGCTTGAGGAAGGGCACCTTGCGTGCACTGCAGGATTTTAATCCTTGACGGCGTAGAGTGTTACTGATTGTTTTCTTTGAGACTGTGGTCCCAGCTCTATTCAGGTCATTGACCAGGTCCTGCCGTGTAGTTCTGGGCTCATTCCTCACCTTCCTCAAGATCAGTGATGCTCCACGAGGTGAGATCTTGCATGGCGCCCCAGACCGAGGGAGATTTTCCGTTATTTTGTATTTCTTCCATTTTCTAATAATTGCACCAACTGTTGTTGCCTTCTCACCAAGCTGCTTGCCTATTGTCCTGTAGCCCATCCCAGCCTTGTGCAGGTCTACAATTTTATCCCTGATGTCCTTACACAGCTCTCTGGTCTTGGGCATTGTGGAGATGCTGGAGTCTGATTGAGTGTGTGGACAGGTGTCTTTTATACAGGTAACGAGTTCAAACAGGTGCAGTTAATACAGGTAATGAGTGGGGGAAAGAGGAGCCTCTTAAAAAAGAAGTTACAGGTCTGTGACAGCCAGAAATCTTGCTTGTTTGTAGATGACCAAATACTTATTTCACACAATAAAATGGAAATTAATTATTTAAAAATCATACATTGTATTTTTCTGGATTTTTGTTTTTAGATTCCATCACTCACAGTTGAGAGTACCTATGATAAAAATTACGTTCTTCTACATGCTTTGCAAGTGGGAAAACCTGAAAAATCAACAGTGTATCAAATGCTTGTTCTCCCCACTGTACTTGTAAAAATTTTCAAAACTAAACAGCCTACAGTATTTTTACAGTCTTTATTGTACTGTTAAAATACTGTATATGTTTATCAAATAAATTCTAATGTTACAACTAATCAGGGATCCCTTTAAGACTCACTGCAGAGCAGGGAAATAAAACATGCTGGATAGGGGTCCTTGAGGACAAGGATTGAGAACCACTGGTTTAGACAAACAATACATAGTTAAAAAAATAATGTTCAATTCTTTTTCTTTTTTTAGGTGTCTTTTATGAATAATCAAAAGCAGCAAAAGCCAACGCTAACCGGCCAGCGTTTCAAAACGAGGAAAAGAGGTGACCCTACTGTTCACTGCTTTAAATATATGTTTTCCTATCTATACCTAAAAGGCTTTTTTGTTGTGTCCACTTTAACAGATGAAAAGGAGAGGTTTGACCCAACTCAGTTTCAAGAAAGTATTGTACAAGGCTTGAATCAAACTGGCACTGATTTGGAAGCAGTTGCAAAATTCCTTGATGCTTCTGGCGCCAAACTCGATTACCGCCGGTATGCAGAGACACTTTTTGACATCCTTGTGGCTGGCGGGATGCTTGGTGAGACACTGTGGGACTATTATAAAGTTGCTAATCCTGGTTTTTACTTTTTGCTACTATTTTTTTTATGTTTTTAAATTTAAATATTTGTTTCTGTTTTCCTTTAGCCCCAGGCGGGACTCTGTCTGATGACATGACCCGCACTGAGTTCTGCCTCTTCACGGCACAAGAAGATCTAGAGACAATGCAAGCATATGCTCAGGTAAACAGCATAACGGGGCATTTATTTGTTTATGTTCTGAGTGAATGTTGTCTTGTTTGTTTCTGTTTTTAAAGGTTTTTAACAAACTAATAAGGCGTTACAAGTACCTGGAGAAGGGTTTTGAAGAGGAGATCAAAAAAGTGAGTGTTTGAAATGTTACATTTGTGTTTGTGCAGAGCATGGCTTCTTTTTGTGCAGTTTTTGTACAGTTAGTTCCAGCTCATACAAAATTTTATTTTGTTGACAGAGCTGACAATTTGGTAGTTGTTTAAAGGTAAAATTAGACTATAGTTGTAAATGGACTCCAAAAAGTGTTTATTCATAGCTGCATTCTGATATGAGACTCTTTAAGTTGGCAGCTTTCAGATCTGAGTATTTGTCATGCCAGCTGGAGTAAAAGTAGCTGGTAATGTTTCCAAATTTTCAAACTTTGGACACAACAAACCTGTTTCTCTTGTAGTTGTTGCTGTTTCTGAAGGGTTTCACTGAGTCTGAGCGCAACAAGCTCGCCATGCTGACTGGCATCCTGTTGGCCAATGGCAGCATATCTGCCTCCATCCTGAGCAGCCTCTTCAATGAGAACCTTGTCAAAGAGGGTGAGAACATTTGGTTTGATCCTGCGCAAAATATTTTCCTGTTTTTTCTTCAGTCAAAATGTAGCTTGAGTTGTTTTTTAGGAGTCTCTGCAGCATTTGCTGTCAAGCTGTTCAAATCGTGGATCAATGAGAAGGACATCAACTCAGTTGCTGCTAGTCTCCGCAAAGTTGGGATGGACAACAGGCTTATGGTAAGTTCATGATATAAATCATGGACAATGTTTAGTTTTGTCTTGATCGTTTGGATAATTGTTGAATGTTTTCACCACTCAGGAACTCTTTCCTGCCAACAAACGGAGTTGTGAGCATTTTTCTAAGTACTTTACCGATGCTGGGCTAAAGGAGCTGTCCGACTTTGCTCGCAACCAGCAATCGATTGGTGCCCGGAAGGAGCTGCAGAAAGAGCTCCAAGAGATGATGTCTCACGGCGACCCTCTGAAGGAGGTGAGTTTATGACTACTCTTTGACAGTTTGTGTAAAGAAGCCTGACATTTAGGGTTTTAAAAATGAGCTAAGTCATATGGAGGACTTAAACTGACATAATTAGAAATAAGAGCAGATATACAAATGGACCAATTAGGCATGGGCCGAATACCGGTTTCAAGGTATACCGTGATATGAAAAAAATCACAGTTTCAAAACCACTAAATTTTTCTGTCATACCGTGCCTATGTTATAAGCGTTTTTTGTTTATTTTTCCTCTGGTCTGTGCAGTTGCAGACTTTCCTCCGCGCACTCCCGCAGCAGACTGCCTGCCGGCACTGTCAGCTCTGCAGCGGTTGTGTGATGGCTGAAGAACAGAGTTCCCCAAACTTTTTCCCTGTCTAAAATAATAAATCCAGCAATATGAAAATACTTAGGATGACGGCAATGTGGACCATGGAGGCAACACATCTAACATGATCACAGCTCCAGGTAAAGTTTATGCTATCTTGAAATGATCAAGCTACAATGGGGAGAACAAGTATTTGATACACTGTTGATTTTTCAGGTTTTCCCACTTGCAAAGCTTGTAGATGACTGTAATTTTTATCATAGGTACTCTTCAACTGTGAGTGATGGAATCTAAAACAAAAATCCAAAAAAAAAACCAAAAACAATGTATGATCTTTAAATAATTAATTTCCATTTTAKTGTGTGAAATAAGTATTTAATCATCTATCAACCAGTAAGAATTTTGGCTCTCACAGACATGTTAGTTCTTCTTTAAGAAGCCCTCCTGTTCTCCACTCATTACCTGTATTAACTGCACCTGAAGCCGAAACCTGAAGGCTCTGGAGGAGATCTGTATGGAGGAGTGGGCCAAAATTCCTGCTGCAGTGTGTGTAC